GTGCCATGACCAGAATAAAAGAGCTAGACTGTGAGCTGACAGGAGCAAGGGAGATGTCCTCTGTCTGTCCATCCCTGGTGGTCCTCAGGCAGTTGGTTTCAGTCTTGTGCTGCCTCAGTTTCTCCCCAGAAGATGGGGTAATGCTCCCAGAACCTGGGGTTACTTTGGAAATTGAAAACAAGACACACGGAATCCCTGAGACCCGGAACAAGCATGTGCTTGATACTCATAAAATGTCCCTTGGTCAGAGGCAGAGCTGGGCGGCACGGGGGTGACGGGTGAGGGCGCTGTGGTCAGCGTCTGGATTTTCAATTAATTAAATAGTTTTTATGCCTGTACTGGGGCTTGGGCTCAGGGCATGCGCAGTGTCCCTAACAAGGCTCAAGGCTGGCACTCTACCACTTGAGCTTCCTGCTCCACTTCTGGCTTTTCGGAGGTAAGAGTCTCATGGACTTTCCTGTCCAGGCTGGCTTTGAGCCATGATCCTCCTGCCTCAGCCTCCTGAGTAGCTGGGATGACAGGCGTGAGCCGCGGGCACCCGCCTTCTTTGTCTTTTCTTCCGAATTCCAGCCCAGCTAAGTTGATATCCGCAGGTCCTCTCCCCCTCCCCCTGGCCCGGGGCAGAGCGATTGGTGAAGCCGAGCAAGCGTAGAAGGGGCTAGCCACACAGCAGGCACTTGGGAGGGTTCTCACCCCCTTTCCACAATCACCTTCTTCACCTTCCCTTTTCACAGATGGGGAAACTGAGGCCCACAGGTGGTAAACACAGTTCAGAGGCTCACCCGTACGGCTCCCAATCCGCAGTTAATTAGTGAGCCCTAGCTATGTAGTTAAGTGCTAACAACATAGCCCCTAATGATAGCCCGGAGCACACTGTGGCGTATATAATTTAATACTAATTGCAGGCTTTCCAGAATGAACCGCTGCTGTGTTGGGGGTCGGGGGTAAGCGAAGACTGTGGAGATTGAGTTCCAGTCTCAGGGATGTGAGTGAGGCTGCAGGGAGAGGAGCTGTGTCTCTCCCCCCCCCCCCCCCCCCCCCCCAGCCAAGGGAGGAGCATGGTCCTCAGTGCAGGCTGGAGAGAGGCTTGGTCCTCCCTGCTGGTTACTGTGTCCCATCCACATTTAACCTGTGACTGTCACAGAAGGCCCGAGCCTGGGTAATTTGTCAATTAAAAAAAAAAAGTTGCATCTTTGGCCTTTGGGAGACTGGGTCCCCAGAAATCCACAAGCATGGTGGCAAGTTTGGGCAAGGAGTGTCATGAGTCACATTTTGGGAAGAGGCAGGGGAGTGGAGCACGTGGGAGGAGACCAAAGCTGACCCACGATGGTTGTAATTAGTCCAGCCCAGGGATACAACCCAACCATCCTTCACGCCTGCAAGGATCACTGCAATCCCTCAAGAGCAAAGCGGCCCCCGCTCTGCACTCTTAGCCAACATGAATTTTGCAGATGACAAACCACTTCCAAACCAAAGCTGCGGGGACCCGAAGTCCACCTGGGAGATACAAGAAGAGTCAAGGGTGTGGCTCAGAGCCAGGCCTGGGCTCGCTGTGCAGGTTCCCAGCTCAGGCTCTGGGGGCGGTGGGGTGGGGGGGTTGAGAGCCCCTGGGGAGAGAGGCCCCCTCATTTCAACAATCCTCCACGGGCCTCAGCCAGGAGCTGAGATACAAACCAGTCCTCCTGGTCCTAGAGACCAAGCCCACATCTCACCATGCTGTGGGACTTGAACTCAGGGCCTGGGTGCTGTCCCTGAGCTGTTTTGCTCAAGGCTAGAGCTCTACCACTTTGAGCCATAGTGCTACTTCCAGTTTTCTGGTGATTAATTGCAGATAAGAGTCTTGCAGGGACTTGTTGTTGTTGTTGGTCGCGAGTCTTGAACTCTGGGCCTGGGTACTGTTCCTGAGCTCTTCAGCTCAAGGCAAGCACTCAGCCACTTGAGCCACACTGCCACTTCTGGTTTTCTGGTGGTTTATTGGAGATAAGAGTCTCAGAGACTTTCCTGCCCAGGCTGGCTTTGAACCACCATCCTCAGATCTCAGCCTCCTGAGTAGCTAGGATTACAGGCATAAGACACTGGTACCGGCTTACAGGGACTTTTCTGCCTGAGCTGACTTCAAACTGAGATCCTCACATCTCAGCCTCCTGCATATCTAGGACATGAGACACCAGCGCTCACTTTTGTTTGTTTTTGTTTTGGGGCCAGTCCTGGGGCTTGCACTGAGAGCCTGGACAGTGCCTTTGAGCTTTTGGGCTCAAGGTTAGTGCTCTACCACTTGGAGCCACAGCTCCACTTCTGGCTTTTTTGGTGGTTTATTGGAGATGAAAGTTTCACTGGACCTTCTTACCTGGGCTGGCTTTGAACCATGATCCTCACATCTCAGTCTCCTGAGGAGCTGGGATGACAGGCGTGAGCCATCACCGTTTCCGGATGATTGATGTGCAGATCCCATTGGAATCCAAGGAGGGGTGAGGTTGCCTCATGACCTTGCTCCTGTCTTCCTGGCAACGCTGCCTCCCAGTAGCGTGACGCATTCTCCTGAGGATGGGAGGTGACAGCCAGCACAACCTTGCACAAACTTCAATTTCTTTGAAGTCCATATATCTTCTCAAAGTGCCATGAAATGTTTCATTCCCTAGCATAATATATCAACGGTCACCTTAATATTTCAAAATAGTTATGTAAAATCGCCGTGGAGCCCAGGCAAAGATACCTGGGCTGCGTTTCCTTGTATCTTAAATGGGATAATAATCACCAGCCCACGAGCTGCCGTGAAGATCAAAAGCAAATAATGTATATGGAAATGCTACGGAAACGCTTCGCAGGTCCCTGTGTTGTTGCCGTGGGAGGAATGGAGGACGCTCCCCAGAGCTGGTAGCCTGTAAGCTAACTCTCCCAAGGGCAGCTGTCAAGGGAGTCAGGCCTCTGTCCCCCTGTTCCCAGGGAGCTAGTGAGCTTCTGTGGGATGATCGGGAAGCCAGAGAAATAAAAGAGTAGGGCTAGCTATTGTTAATCTATTTTTTTCCTAAAGAAAACACTTTTATATAATTCTATCATGTCATCCTTTCTTACTGCTGGCTAGATTCCCTAGCAAGAAGGGCTAGCTGGGCTCTGGTTGCTCACGCGTGTAAGTCCTCACTACTCAGGAGGCTGAGATCCAAAGGATCCAGTTCATAGTCAGCCTAGGCAGAAAAGTCCTCACGACTCCTTCAAAGTAACCAGCAAAGGCTGGGAATGTGGCTCAGTGGTAGAGTGCTTGCTTAGCATGCATGAAGCCCTGGGTTCGATTCCTCAGTACCACATACACAGAAAAAGCTGCAAGTGACGCTGTGGCTCAAGTGGTAGAGTACTAGCTTTGAGTACAGAGAGGCTCAGGGGTGGAGCCCAAGCCCTGAGTTCAAGCCCTAGGACCGGGAAAAAAAACAACAACCAGCAAAAGGCTGGGTTAGAAGCATGACTCAAGTGGTAGAGGGCCAAGCTAGCATCAAGCCTTGAGTTCAAATACTGGTACTGGAAAAGTGAAAAGAAGAAAGGGGTGGAGAGTGTTCTTCTCTTTTCTCCATGGTGATTGTTCAGACTCTTTTCCAATCACATTTCTGTCTCAGATGTCCTAGATCTTTAACTTGCTGTGATTTGTGACCCAGGACCAGGGGCTGTGTATCTCTGATCTATTCCTTGGCAAAAAAAAAAAAAAGTTATTTAGCAAATAGTAACTTGCAACACATTAACTCAGTTTGTTTTGTGGCTGTACGGGGACTTGAACTCAAAACCTTGCATGTGCTCAGCTGGTGCTCTACTACTGGGGTCCCACTTCTAGCCAGCTTTTTGCTAGATGTTTAGAGATGGAATCTCATGGACATTTCTGCCCGGGATGGTTTCAAACCCCGATCTTCTGCATCTCAAGTCTCCTGAGTAGCTAGGTTACAGGTGTGAGCCACTGGCTCCCAGCTTCGGTTTTTATTTTAGGAGGTGGGCCCTAAGGAGTATGTGGGGTTGCCGTCATTGTTTTCCTGGTCTGCGCATGTGCCACTTGAAATGTGTGCAGTTTATTATACGTTCATTGCGTTTCCATGAAACCAATCACTTGTAATAGGCGTTATCTCTGATGGTCAGGTTATGCGTTTGGCCACAGAGGTCAGAGGCTCAGTGGAGACTTCTAAAGCAACAGCTCAGTTGTCTGCTTAATACAGGCACAGGGGTATCCAGCAAGAGGAATGGTGGCCAGGAATCCACTCTACCCATCTGGGAACAGCAGCCTCATTCTAGGCAGGTTCAAGCCCCAGCTCCTCTGCTCCAGTCCTTCAGTGGGAAAGGACAGCTCTTTCCCCCAGAGAATGTGCGAACTCCAGGGCTCACCTGAGTCCTCTTCACCCCACAAACCAATGCATCACCTGGCCTCAGGAAAGCACCGTGTAAATCCGGCTTCCAAGCTGAGTTCCTGTGGCCCAAGGGGCACTCGAGGGACTCACCAGGCAGCAGAGGAGCTGCTTGGTGGGGCTGATGGAGCCCCAGAGGCAGTGCAGAGCCCTGCACAGAAGAGGAGGTGCAGAGTGTCTTCCCCAGCATCACCCCCCCCCCCCCAAGGGCCTCCGCTCCTGGGGTCATGTGATCTGTGAGGACCGCGTTGGTTATAATGGACCTGCACCCCTGGGGTCTGCTTTAGAACAGCGGGCTCTGGTGCCTCTGCTTCCGAAGCCCAGCCATAATTAACAAACGCTGAGCCATTCATGGAGGCCCAGATCCCTTGCAAGCCACAGGAGGCCAGAGCAGCAGCGAGGCTGGGGATCTACCTCTAGCAAAGCCCAGCGTCTCCAAACCCCAGTGGGCCACAGACAGTCTCTGGGGGGTGCTGGGTCGCCAGAGGGATGCGCCCGGGGAACCGGGCCTTCGTCAAGGTTGGCCTCCGCCTCCTGACCTCCAGTGTCAGTGAGTCAGGCGCCTGGCTCTCAGAGAGGCCTTCCCACGATCGGCTGTCACACCGCTCTGTTTCTTCATTGCAGGAGTACTCTAAGGACATGGTGACAGACTTTGATGAGAAACATGATGAGTATTTAATATTGCTTCAGCAGAGAAACCGGTAAGAGGAAGCCCTCCCCCCCCCCCCCCCTCGCAGCCCTTGTTATTAGAGAAATAAATATCTGCTTGCATTTATTAACAGCACGGAGGCTTTGATTCACGGAGGAATGGAGAGTGTGTTTTCTGCTCCTAGTTCTCCATCCATTGGTGAAATTGGACCTTTATTTATTTACTTTTTGTGTCGGTGCTAGGGCCTGGGCGTTGCTCCCTGAGCTTTTTCACTCAAGGCTGGTGCTCTACCACTTGAGCCACAGCTCCACTTCCGGCTTTCTTGTGGTTCATTGGCAATAAGAGTCTTCTGGACTGGTTTGGAATTGTGATCCCCAGATCTCAGCTTCCTGAGTAGCTAGTCTTACAGGTATGGGCCACTGGCACCCAGCCCATTGAATCTTTTTTTTTTTTTTGGTCAGTCATGGGGCTTGAACTCTGGGCCTGGATGCTGTCCCTCAACTCTTCAGCTCAAGGCTAGCGCTCTACCACTTGAGCCATACCACCACTCGCGGTTCTCTGGTGGTTTATTGGAGATAAGAGTCCCACGGATTTTCCTGCCTAGGCTGGCTTTGAACCTCGATCCTCAGTGTCTTCATGTCAAGGGATGCCGAGTGGAGTTCGATTACTCTTGGGTCTGCACCTGGGCAGGGCATCACCGGAAGGTTGGGTAGGGCTGCTTGGGCCTCTGGAGGGCTACGTTGGGGCAGTGTGGGGCCGTCAATGTGATCTGAAAGGGGCCAGCGTCGAGGCCCGGGCTGGATTCCTCAGCAGTCTGAGCAAGCTCATTGCCAATTCCATTGTGGTTTTTTCTTCAGGCCGGAGTCTTGCACTAAGCTGCATTTGCAAACTCAAGCCTGGAGGGGCCTGGCCGGGAAGAGAGCCGCCTCAGGGGACAGAGGGCACCTGGAATTTTCCTATCCTCCTATGTCTGCTCAAACTAGCTTGCGTTTGTTTGTGGAGCGCCCCCTCACCCCCTGCCAATCCCCAGGGTCTCACGGGAAGCTAGAAGTCTGGATTTGTGAGTTTGAAAACATTGGTAATGAATTCAAATTCAAGCCCAAGGCAGACAGAAGAACCCTGCATCTCTGCAAAGCAGGTGTGCCATGCTGGGGAGGGGGCTGGGCCCTGATTTTTGGTCCTCGCTTCCATCTGTGGGCGGAGGGGTGGGAGGGTGGGGGGGTTGCTGGCCACCAAGGGAAGGTCACCCTGACCTTGGGAGTAGATGGATGCAGCCCTTGCCTGGTGCGCACACTGCAGGGGGGTGGGAGGTAGGGGGGGATCCTGATGGCTGGGTTTTCAAACACTCCTATGGGCTGTCTTCTGTCTCAGTGGAGAGCTTTGGGGTCTCTCTCTTTCCTTCTCTATGACGAGCCAGAAACCCAGGCCAGGCCCCCTCCTCAGTGCTCAACTTCCCAGGGGCTCCTGGCTCCTGACCATCAAAGTAGCCATCCCCGAAAGCTCCAGCCCATTAGACCCACTGCGAGCTTTTACCCTTATTAACGCAGGGTGCAGGGGGAGGGGGAGGAAGGGGATGTTTTTATTCGATTGCTGGCAGGCTGATGGCGCCATCGAACACCTGGATGATTGTTTAATATCTCCATGCGACTTGTCAGGGGAGAGAGTGTCACGGCTCCTTACGAGCAAATTGTTTCTCATTAATCGGGCGATCGATACGCGTGCGATCCAAGAGGTACCGGCTGATGGCATATATGAGGATTTCCAGAGACAAGGTTATCTAGCACCAAGGCAATTAAAAATATATCAAAACTGAGTCGCCATCAGTTGTGGAGGGGGAGGGGAGGGGCGCTGTACCAAGACGGAGCCCATGGATGGGGGAAATGAGAGAGGAGAGCCCGAGAGAAATTCCTTACCTAGAGGCCTGTGAGGAATGTGGTCCCCTTGTGTTGGACAAGTTGGGTCTTTTGCAGCGTGCCAGTCATGTACCAGGGCAGTGGCATAAAATATTTCTCTGTATGTGTGTGTGTGTGTGTGTGTGTGTGCGCGCACGTGCACGCATGCACACCAGTCCTTTGGCTTGAACTCAAGGCCTCGGTACTGTCTCTTAGTTTTTTTGTACAAGGATGGTGCTCTACCACTTGAGCCACAGCTCCCCTTTGGTCTTTCCAGTGGCTCATTGGAGATCAGAGTCCCATGGATGACTTTCCTGCCCAGCTGGCTTTGAACCATGGTTCTTAGATGTCAGCCTCCTGAGTAGTTTTTGTTACTTTTAACACGAAGGGAAATACTGCACTGGGAAGACATGGGCAATTGCTTAGTGTTCTTTTGGTTTTAAGGGACAGAAACCCTAGGTGATGAGGACTTACTGGGAACTCTACCAGCTCATGGATGTGGCTTAGCAGTAGAGTGCTTGGCGTCACATTCAAGAGGCTCTGGGTACCATGGCCAGTCTCATGAGAGAGAGAGAGAGACAGAGAGAGACAGAGAGACAGAGAGAGACAGAGAGACAGAGAGAGAGAGAGAGAGAGAGAGACAGAGAGAGAGAGAGAGAGAGAGAGAGACAGAGACAGAGAGGCAGAAGAGAAAGGAGCCCAACCCAATACTCATATAATCTGGCTTCAGGCATGGCTGGATCTAGGTGTTTAAGTTCTGTCACTAAAATCAGTCCTTCTCCATCTCTTCCCTCTGTTTTCCTGTGAGAGTTGCTCTCGGGTGTGTGCATCTCCCACTGTGGCTGAGGCTGTCAAAGGAAGTCCCTCCTTCCAGCTTCCCCTCAAAGGAGAGCGCAGTGCCTTCTGAATCCTAGCCCAAGCGCTGAGGCAGGCTCCCTGGTCCTCCCTTTTGTCCCCATCCTGGGCCAGCCCCTCCCTCGGTCTGGGGACTGACACAGCACTGCCCCCCCCCCCAACTGAGCCGTGGATTCAGTCCCCCAAATGTCACTGCTCCTGGGGGACCCCCCACAGCCTCAGCAGCTGCGTTTGGACCCGTTGGGTATGGCAGGCTGAGCCTGAGGCCCCATAGCTCTAGCAGAAGAGGCCCGAGGCTGCCCTGTGCCGGGGCCGGGGAGGGGCTGCCGAGCCTCGTCCAGCCAGACTGACTCTTAGTGATTCTGGTCACTGGGCCCACGCAAGATGTAATCACTCCCGAGGAGTGATCAGAGGAGCAGGCAACGTGGCCGGACTGGAGAGATGAGAGAGCGCAGCTGCGTGATGGGAGGGGGGTGTGGTGGGGGCGGGGGGGGGGGGGAGGATGCCACAGACTGTCACCACATTGTCATTCAGTCCTTGAGAAAGGACCATGGAGGAACAGAGAAGGGGACCCACCACCCCAAGATGAGATGGTGGGAGGGAGAGAGGAAGGAAGGAGGGAAGGAAGGAAGGGAAGGGAAGGAGAGGGAGGGAGGGAGGGAGGGAGGGAGGGAGGGAAGACCAGTGCCGTGTTCCGTCCAGTGCAGGCAATCCCAGCCTTCTTTCACAGAAGAGGAAATGGGTCTGCCAGGGGCTCAAGGACCTGCTAGATTCACACATGCTGGGGAATAGCAGAATCCGCAGTATGCAGGCCCCCCCCCAGCGCCAGCCCGGCCTGAGCAGCCGTGCTTCCAGGGCCACCACTGAGAAGACAGCGCTGCCCCGCTGCGGGCTTCCACTCCTCCGCCCTCGGCGGCCCCGGCCCCACAGCCTGGAGGCCCAGGGGGCAGCCACCGCCACGCCCTTCGCCCTCTCCTTGGGTGCTGGACAATGGTGACAAACTGACACAGGCCCCTGAAGGCACAGTGGGCCACCCCTGTGCCACGTGCCCCTCCTCCTGCCAGCCCCGCCCCTCCCAGGACAAACAGAGGCCTTGGCTGGGTAGACCCTTAAGTAGCCAGAGGTGGAGAAGCCACACAGCTCACACAGCACGGCTGTCCCTTCATGCCACCGTCCAGCAGTTGAACCCCTCCTTTGTGCTCGGTACCTCCTCGCGCTGGTCCCTGCACTGATGGCCCCAGAGGAGGAAGGAGGTGTTTCCCAGACCCTCCCACCCACCAGCCCTGCTCCCCGCTGAGCCCTGAGAGCTGGGCGCAGGTGACCGCTGGGGTCAGCATGGGAACTCAGCTAACTGAGCTGCCTGTGGATGCTAGGGGACCCATCACTGTCCCTGTTCGGCCACAGCGCTCCTCGTCGGGCCCGTGGCCAGGTGATGCCTTTAGTCCATGGCTCAGATTCCAAGGGGAGAAGGAGGGCGGAGGAACAGATAAATCACAGCATCATGACCAAGGAGGCTGGACAGCCAGCAAGCGCATACAGGGCCCCGGGCCGAATGTGGGCATCAGTTTCAGACAGTGCTGGAACTAAGCGGAGGCGTTGCAGATCCCCTCCACCAGAATGCACCCGGATGTGCTCCCCTGCGGGAGTTCCTGTAGCAATTCCTTTCACAGTCTGAATAATTACCTCCTCATCTATCACTCGCCTAAGTCCACCTTTGCATATAACATCCTGCTTAAGTAGAGGGCCGCACACAGCACCAGCCCCGCACCTCAAATGTCTGGAGACTGGGCAATCTCTGGGAGGGGAAGTTGAGGCAGGCTGGCTGCCCAGCTGAGCAGGTTTCTCAGGCTTCCCCGCCCCCCAGAGCATCCCCTGAGCGTGGCTCGTGCCTGAAAACGGTCTCTTAGTTACTTGTGTTTTCTGTTGTTGTTCAACAATCCGGCATCTCGCAGGCTCCCAACGCTGGCAAAGAGATAAGCAGTGTGTATAATAAATGTTCCTGCCACGATTGTGCAATAGATGGATGTCTCACCCAGGAAGCAAACAATCAAAAATAAACCAAGAAACTCAACCTGGGCAGCCCTGCCTCCCCTCCCAACACATTTCCTTTCTTCCTCCATCACCTTCCGCCCCGGGCCCACACACATGCACTTACCCTACCTTTGCATTTCAACCCTCCCTGCCCGGCCCCTCACCAAGTGCTCACAAGCAATCCCTCCTCTTTCTGGGGTGGGGGAGTTCTTTTTTTTTGTCAGTCATGGGGCTTGAACTCTGGGCCTGGGCGCTCTCCCTGAGCTCTTCAGCTCCAGGCTATTGCTCTACCACAGCGCCATTTACAGTTTTCTGAGTGGTTTATTGGAGATAAGAGTCTCACAGACTTTTCCTGCCCGGGCTGGCTTTGAACCGTGATCCTCAGATTTCAGCCTCCTGAATAGCTAGGATTACAGGCATGAGCCACTGGTGCCCGGTGTGGTGTGTGTGTATGTATGTGTGTGTGTGGGGGGGGGGGGAGTTCTTTAATCATGACAGTCCTGTCTGGTGTCCCGCCTTCTATTTTCCTGGCCCTCACTTTCTTCCAGTGTGTTGTGGTATCTGATTGTTGAGGGTTTTTTTTTTTTTAATGTATTATGAGCTTAAATTAATTGTAGAAAGGGACTTCAGTATGATTTGTACAGCCTGTATATAATGTGCTCTGATCCAATTAGCCACCCTCTCGCCACCCCCATCCCATTTCTCAGTTCATTTGCCCTTTTCGTTTCCTCCTCCCTCCCCTCCCACTCCTGATTTCCCCTCCCTATTTTATAATCCCGTCATACCTTTTTTCAGGGCAAGATTCCGCATTTGAGCAAAGCACATGCTGACGTTGGTCCTTCTGAGCTTTTGACCTTGTGGCACTTAACGGATGGTTTCCAGTGCCAGCCATTTTGCTGCCAGTGACACAACTCCCTTCTTCTTCATGGCCAAATAATAGGCCATTGTGTATACAAACCACATTTTGGGTTCCGTAGCTTGGAGCAGCACTGCCATCAGCAGGGCCCGCCATGCTCTCATATACTGATTTATGTATGCATGTAGTTCCGGTTTTCACTTCTTTTGTTGTCATTGTTGCTTCTTCTTTATTCTGTTGGCAGTAGTGAGCTTTTTTTTTGTTGTCGTTATTGGTCAGGGCGAGCGCTCTACCACTTGAACCACAGCGCCACTTCCGGTTTTCTGGTGCTTCATTGGAGATAAGAGTCTCATGGTCTTTCCTGCCTGGGCTGGCTTTGAACTGTGATCCTCAGAACTCAGCCTCCTGTGTAGCTAGGATGACAGGTGTGAGCCACCAGTGCCCGGCATGGCAGTACTGAGCTTTAACCAGGGCCTTGCATGCTAGGTAGGCTCGCTGCCATTTAAATCACACCATGTGAGCATTGGTTGTCTGTTTCTCTCTCTTCCTCTCTCCATCCCTCTTTCTTTGTTTCTTTCTCTTTCTTTTTTCCCTCCCTCCCTCCCTTCCTTCTTTCCTTTAAACTCAGAGCCTTACCACTTGGGCTGCAGCCCCAGCCCTGTTTTCTTAATGACAGCCATTGTGACTGGGAGGAGGTAGAATGGAGCCAGGGTTCACGTGGTATTGATGTGCATGTCCTTTATGGCTAAGGATGGTAAGCATTTCTTCATGTACTTACTGGCCATTTGTTCTCCTTCTTTTGAGAACTATCTGTTTAATTTGCTTGCCCATGTAATTATTGGATTAGTTGTTCTTTCGGTGTTTAATTTTTGGAGCATTATCCTTTGGTTATGAATCCTTGGTCAGATAAATGGTGAACAAAGTCTTTCTCCCATTTGTGGATTGTCTCTTGATTCTGGAAATTGTTTCTTTTGCTATGCAGACACTTTTTTTTTTTCTAGTCCCGGGGCTTGAACTCAGGCCCTAGGCTCTGTCCCTGAGCCTCTCTGTGCTCAAAGCTAGCGCTCTACCACCTGAGCCACAGCACCACTTCTGACTTTTTCTGTGTATGTGGTACTGAGGAATCGAACCCAGGGCTTCATGAATGCTAGGCAAGCACTCTACCACTAAGCCACATTCCCACCCCAGACACTTTTTAATTTGATACAGTCCCGTGTGTCAATTTTTTTTTTTTTTTGCGGTTATATCCTGAGCATTTAGAGTCTTTCTTAGGAAGGAATTGCCTGTGTTTGCATTGTCAAATGTTTTCTCTGTTCTCCTGTAGTAGTTTCAAAGATTCAGGTCTTTCATTGTGATCTTTGACTCATATTGATTTTTGTGGCTTGAATTCAGGGCCTAAGCACTATCTGAGCTTTTGTGTTCAAGGCTGACACTTTTTTTTTTTTTTTCCAAGTCCCGAGTCTCTCTGTGCTCAAGGCTAGAACTCTTACCACCTGAGTCACAGCGCCGCTTCTGGGTTTTTCTGTTAATATAATACTGAGGAATTGAACCTAGGGCTTCATGCATGCTAGGCAAGCACTCTACCAGCAAGCCACATTCCCAGCCCCTGGTATTCTTGACTCATAGCTCCATTTCTGGCTTTTTGCTGATCGATTGAAGATAAGAGTCTCACTAGTAGACTTCCCTGCCTGGGCTGGCTTTGAACTTTGCTCTTCAGATGGCAGCCCCCTGAGTAACTAGGATTAGCTACGTGTCAGCCACCACGCGTGGCTGTGTTCTGTGGATGTGTTATTGGAAATGGCTCCTACAAAGCTTTTGACCACTTTTTGGTGTATATCAAAGAATCACTGTTCACACAGAGGAAAAATTGCATGAAATTGAGATCGAGTCACAAAGCTCAGGCTGTCAGACACCGGCACAACGTTCCAGCCACCTTCCTGCCTCAGCTCCCACGGGGCAGGAACGGTGTGTGCTCAGTGTCACAGCTCAAATCCCTTGGGCAGCAACGGCTCAGCCTGCCCCTCACCCCCAGCGTCTCCGTGAGCATCATGGGCCTGGGTGGGCAAGCAGATGGGCATGAGGCACCTGGCTTCTGACTGGAGATGCTGTTCAGGGCTGGCTGGGGAGCTGCCGGGGGCTCCGCACTCCAGTGACCAGAAGTGAGGTGCCCCTTATCTTCCAGGATATTGAAGCATTTGAAGGCCAAGGACCCCGTGCAGCGCAGGCTGGAGTACCTGGAGCAGGGCTTCTCCGTCTACGTCAACGGGGCCAATTCTGAGCCGAGGACATCCCCACGCAAAGTCGTGCACGCCGACTTCTCCAGAAGCACCTCGCAGGCCGAGGGTGCACTCGGTGAGCCCAGGCCCTCCAGGCCTGCCTCTGTTGTTGTTGTTATTATTATTATTATTATTGCAAGTCCTGGGGCTTGAACTCAGGGCCTGGGTATTGTCCCTGGGCTTCTTTTGCTCAAGGCTAGCACTCTACCTCTTGAGCCACAGTGCTACTTCCCGTTTTCTGGTGGTTAATTGGAGATAAGAGTTCTTTGGAACTTTCCTGCCTGGGCTAGCTTTGAATCACGATCCTCAGATCTCAGCCTCCTGAGTAGTTAGGATTACAGGTGAGAGCCACCGGCCCCCAGCTTTTTCTTCCTTTTTTTAAACTGGTCTTGGCCTCTCTGCCCTTGGGAAAAGCCAGGAAAGTAGTAAATTCCAGATTGACCTTTCCTAGAGCTCGAGTGATGAGATCCTTGAGCCCGCCACTCATTCAGGCATTTCGTTCATCCACACCTCTCCCTCTCTGACCGGCTCAAATGCGCCTTGTAAGAGCACAGGACCCGTCATGAGTGTAATAGAGCCTCTTTGATTTTATCTGGCCCAAGACAGTCGCCAGGTGTGACTTGACGTGGGTGGGAAGGCAGGGCAGATGGAATCAGGCCCCACCCAGTTTACTGTTCACTGTGGGGAAGCTTTTTGGTCCCTCTGGGCCTCTGTCGTCTTCTTCTCTTTAAAATGGAATCAGCAAGGGTGCCCATCCGAAGAGGATCAGAGGACCCCTCCAGGCAAGGGCTGCTTTGCTCCAGGGGGTGGCTCGCTACTCAGCCTGGAGAGAAACTGAGCCACACTCTGCCCCTGTCTGGCCCTGAGATCTCAGGCTGTTGGGGACATCTCCTATCCCCAGGTTCCTCGTCTGTAAAATGACCGGCTGGCCACAGAGGATTAAACGACCTAAGAAATGTCACGCCAGGCACCAATGGCCAATGCCTGTGATCCTAGCTGCTCAGGAGGCTGAGATCTGAGGATCGGAGTTTGAGGCCAACCCCAGGATGGAAAATTCACCACCAAATTAAGCACCAAAAGCAGCAAGTCAGGAGAGGAGCTCTGAATCAAGCATTAGAATGCCAGTGTTGAGCAAAAACAAAAACAAAAAAAAAGGAGCAATACTCAGGCCCTTGAGTTCAAGTCTCAGGACTGACACAAAGGGGGAAAACAAGAAAGGTGAGGAGAAAGGGAGATGCTACGTGGCTTCCAGTGACCCTGATTAGTGTTAGTCTAACTCAGTATTTCACAGCTGTGTTTCGAGGAAGCGGGGCCTGGACGTTCTCCTAGGAGAGCTGTGGTACACGAACACAGAGCTTCCTAGCGGACAGAGCAAAGAGGGAAACCCACGACTCCCCTGCCTTTCACCGTGGACAGGCGGGTTGTTGGGAGGAACATATCAGAGGACTCCCCACACGTGGGTCCCCCAAACACAGCCCCCCCCGCCCCGTCTCTACTACACAGATGGATGAACTTCCCTGGACCGCATCTGTGTCTAGAGAGTATCCCCAGCTCCCACAGGCCCCCCCCCCCCCCACTCATCTTCCAGGCGTTTTGCTGGGCATTTGATTCCCTCCCTCCCCTCTTCCCTTCTTCCTTTCCTCTCCCTGAGTTACCCCAGACTGACCTGGAACTTGGGATCCTCCTGCCTGCCCCAACCTCCCAAGGGCCGGTATTGTAGGCATGAGTCACCAGGCTCAGCTCTGGCTGTTTGCTGGCGTGTGCTGCCGTGGCTGTCATGGGGGTGGGGGGGGGGGGGGGGAGGGTGTCGCGGCCGTGGGCATGGCGGCCTGGCGGCGGGTGTAGATTTCAGAATGGCTGTCACTGTGCCTCACCAGCCGCCTTCTGCTCGTAGATTATGGACGAAGACCCTTGTTTGGAGAAGCAGAAGAAATGTTAAGACGCAGTTCGAGGACGGCGCCCAGCAAGGTCCAGCGCCGAGGATGGCACCAGGTCTGGACACTCAGGACAGAGTCAGGCATGGCCCTGGCTTGAGCTTTAGAATGTGGGAAACAGAACACGAGCCCGGGTAGGCTAGGGGGTGGAGGGTGGGGCGTCCCTGGGCCACCATGATGCCCTCTGTGTATATGCGGCTGCTTGGGGGACCCAGAGCCAGCCTGACCCCACTGAAGAGTCACGAAGGGGCAGACTCACAGCCTTTGTGAGATGACTCACCCCTCTAGCAGGTGTTAAATGAGCACCTACTATGTGCCAGCCCTGGTCTTAGCTGCCAAGGCTACAGTGTGCAGGCTTTGGCTGAAGCTGAGGGTGGCGGCCCCTCAGGGGAAGGGAGGGGGGTCAGGTGTCAGCTGCTCTTTTTTTTTTTTTTGTCGGCCATGGGACTTGAACTCTGGACCTGGGCTCTGTCCCTGAGCTCTTCAGCTCAAGGCAAGTGCTCTACCACTTGAGCCACAGCGCCACTTCCGGTTTTCTGGTGGTTTATTGAAGATAAAAGTCTCACAGACTTTCCTGCCCAAGCTGGCTTTGAACCACGATCCCCAGATTTCTGCCTCCTGAGTAGCTGGGATTACAGGTCTGGGCCACCGGTGCCCAGCTAGGGGTTGTTTTTGACGATGGTTATTGAACCTGTGGCTAGCAGGATCAGAAGCTGGGTCCATCACCTTGGCCCAGGCCTCAGCACAACTGGTAGAGCCCTTGTGAGCCTGCCATTGCAGGAATCCAGAGATCACCATGAGTCTTCATTGTGCTGCTGGGGAAGTCGAGGCCAGAGAGGTGGGAGCCCCAGGGCTCCTCAGGAAAGTTGGGAAGGCTGGGATTTGAACTGAGGCTTGCACTCAGGGATGTCTGAGGGGCCCGGGCATCATGATGAACAGAGGGACAGGAAGAGCACTGCCTTTGGCCGCCTCTACTCCTCTCTCATTCGCGAGGCCTTCCTCCCCAGCTCCCACAGACACATCTCTGGGTTGTTTTGATGTCTTCTGTGATCAAGAATTACATTTCTGTCTCTGCTTTAAGCGGCTGGTCTCAGAGTCCACACAATTGAAGAGACTCAGCCTAAGATTAATTAGCATCCCCTCCCAGTCTCTCCTGGGGTTCTGCACTTTGCAGGGCCTAATCATGGCTAATTTCCTAGCTTCCCAAAGCCCCGTGTGCTCATTGCCCTTCTGTAGTCCCGTCAGTCAGGGGTCACTCGGTGCCTAACAACTGAGACCATTCAGAGACAGTGCTTGGGCTGGCGGTAAGGCGTGAGTGTGGAGCTGGGCGTCCAGGTACAACGTCCAGGGAGCAAGGCTGCTTGGCTGTGGCCTGCTAGGAGAGCCGCTGCCCAGGACAGCCAGGAAGATGGAGCTCAGGCATTCCAAGGAAGACCTTAGTACCTGTGGGACATCTTGACAAGCCCACCATCTCCCCCCTGGCCCTCCCGCTTTTCCGCCCTCGCTGTGGCTGGGATGCATGTACTGGGTGGAACCAAATTTGCACCCAGAGCCTGAACCATAAAAGAAATCAGCTTCAATCTCTAACGTTGGAAAACAAAGAACAACAACAAAAAAACAACCCAAAACCTTGTCATTGCCAGGTGCCGGTGGTTCACGCCTGTAATCCTAGCTACTCAGGAGGATGAGATCTTGAGGATCACGGTTTGAAGCCAGCTAGGGCAGAAAGGTCTGTGAGACTCTTATCTCCAGTGAACCACCAGAAAACCAGAAAGTGGAGCTGCGGCTCAAGTGGTATAGCACTAGTCTTGAGCACAGAGAGGATCAGGGACAATGCCCAGGTTCTGAGTTCATCCCCAGAAAAGAGAAAGGAAGGAAGGAAGGAAGGAAAGGAAATCAGCACCAGGTGCCAGTGGCTTATGTCTTTAATCCTACCTACTCAAGAGTTCAGATCTGAGGATTGTGGTTCAAAGCCAGCCCAGGCAGGAAAGTCCATGAGACTTCTCCAGTGAACCACCAGAAATCAGGAAGTGAAGCTGTGTCTCGAAGTAGTAGAGTGCTAGCCTTGAGCAAAAGAGCTCAGGCTCTGGGTTCAAGCCTCATGATCACCACCACCAAAAATCAGCAAATTAGTGCTTTGCTTCTCAGCCTCAGCCAAACAGAGGCAGCCTGGGGTGAAGTGGAATGGGGGGGGGGGGTGGTCCTACCTGTCTGGACCCATCCCCATCCAAACCTGGCCTCACTCCCTCAGCGTTGGCTCAGGCCGAAGTATACTAAGAGAATTTTGAGGGGCTGGGAAGGTGGCTCAGTGGTAGAGCGCTGGCCTTGAGCTGAAGAGCTGAGGGACAGCGCCCAGGCCCAGAGTTCAGGCCCCACGACCGGACCCAAAAAAAAAAAAAAAAAAAAGAATTTTGAATCTCTCAGCCTCCCTCCGCACCCCATTTTCTTTGTGTAACTCCTGGGGTTTCTTTCTTTCTTTTTTTTCTTTTTGCTTATGTGGTGCTGAGGAATCGAACCCAGGGCCTCATGCATGCAAGGCAACTGCTCTACCACTGAGCCACCTTCCCAGCCCCCTCCTGGGGTTTCTTGAAGTCAGGGCCTATACACTGTTCCTGAGCTTTTTTTTTTTTTTTTTTTTTCCCTGGTCCTGGGGCTTGAGCTCTGGGCCTGGGCACTGACCCTAAGCCTCTCTGTGCTCAAGGCTAACACAATCCTGCTTGGTCTGGCTTTGAACCAGGATCCTCAGATTTCAGCCCCCTGAGCAGCTACGATTACAGGTGTGAGCCACCGGCGCCCAGCTTCTGAGTTCCCCTTGTTACATAACTCTGGGCCTGGGTTGTGGCAGCCAGCCTGGAGGAGGTGCCCACACATGCCTCTGTGTGGCTGTGCTTGAACAGGGCCCCTCGTGCAGCCTGCCCTCAGTGGGGGCCACCATGAGAACTGTGATTCTCAGTTGCTGGTCAAGTGTGTAGACCGTGTCAGCGACACTGTCATTACTCTCACAATGGAAAGGGGCAAGATGGTGTCCTTTGGCCCCACGCAGTAGAATTAAGTCCTAAGTCCATTGAGACAGACCTCTGGCTCCCTGGTGTACAGAGGAAGAAAGTCTTGTCCACATCCTTCTCCCCGCCCCCCACCTTACATCTCCCCACCCCCCACCTTTCACCTCCACCCCCCCCCACTTACATCTCCCCTCCTTCTTTCCTCAGAAACCTCCTGAATGACAGCCATGTTCCTCTGACCCCACACAATCCATCTTCCTCTTCCTGTGGGGTCACCATCCTGCCCAGCAAGCAGGCAGAACTTTGGGGGTACAGCACCCCCAGTTCAAGGGGAAGGGGCTGCCGCAGGCACACAGGATAGAAGTTCCTTTGGCCAGGGTATCACAGAGCCACCCACTGGTGGGTGACAGATGTCATGACCCCCCCCCCCGACCCCTCCTAAACCGTCTGTCTTGGGGGTCTGGTGGCCGTTGGCGGTGGACGCTGGGCGCCTGTGCCGGCCGCCTCGGCCGTGGGGCGGCTGCTGGTGATAGATCTACAGCGTCTCTTCCTACTGTCCCCCTCCTCCCCCCACTCCTGGCCCTTAGATCTTTGTGCCGCCATCAGTGGATTAAGATTTATGGCTTCCTCAGCCTTGTAATACTTGGGTGGACAGCGGCCTAATCAACAGAGCCGCCGTTTACCAAAATGCTGTCAGGTTTGATGAACGTCACGGGCTCTCAGCATTAAATCGGCGGTGAAGGGATTGGCCTGCTCTCGGTTGACCGTGGGCCGAAGCCATCCCGAAAGAAGCCCACAGCAGGCTCACTGCCTATGAAAGCTGGGGCTCAGCTCCCCCTCACCCCACGCAGCTGCGGTGGGTCTGTGCAGCAGGGGGGTCCCCTCTGCATCCTCCTCCTCACACGTCCAGGGAGAGCCCGTCAGGAAGGCCAGGCTGCTCCCCCCCACCCCTCGCCTTCCTTTGCAGAAACCAGCAGAGCTCACCCACCTCTAGAGGGAGCCAGAGACGCAGTGCACACCCGGCCCGGCCAGCCGAGGCGGCTCGTGCATTCTGGGGGAGCGATGCCGAGGGAGGTGGCAGATACACACAAATAACTCTGGCCGTGCGTGGACGGGGCGGAGTGTAGGCCGCCGATGAAATCAGCTGGCTGGGGGCTGGCAGGTGACAACGTGGAGTTGAAACCCAGCTGGAGGGGAGGTCTTCCCAGGTCTGGGCATGGAAAGAGCACCACTTTGGGACACCCACTCCTGGTTAAGAAACAAAACAAAAAAAGGAGCCAAGTGAGAGGCAGCCGCCCTCCCGTGTAAGGGCGGGCAGGTGGGAGGCAGGGAGCCGTGCTGTGCTGTGCGGGGCTGGGGGCTGGGCTGGAACCTGCCAGCCTTGGTGTGGGCGGGGCTGCTCTCCATCTCCTCCGGGGGGGGGGGGGGGGGGGGGCAGAGGAGGCTCCCTGGGCCTGGGGGCGGGAGAGCAGGCCAGATGGAGGGCCTATTTATTCCCCTCCTGGGCGGGTGGACACCCACTCAGCATTACCAGTTCTTTGGTGCCCGCATTTGCGTGGTGCCCCGTGGCTTCATCGTCTTCCCCTGTGGGTACCGTGGGAACGAGGGCACAGGACCAGCCTGTAGCCAGTGCTTGGGAAGGCCTTGCTTGACCCCGTGAGAGGCCCCGTGTTGGCATCTTGGAGGTCTTGGTGAGATGAGCGTTGTGCTGCTGCGGACTGCAGGAGAGAGCTGTACCTGGGGGCTCCCCTGTGCCAGGCTGGAGCCCTTCAGATGTTCTGAGATTCAATTCAAAGGCCAGCGGAGCCCATTCACCCCAGTCCTCCCACTTGTTAGCTTACAGCCAGGTTCAGCTCACCTGGCAACCCAAACCATGCCACAGTGCTCGCTCTCTTCTCAGCTGCACGCACTGTGTGTCCACGGGGGCCACGTGGCCACCACAATTCCCCAGCACCTCTGTCTCCTGCTCCTGCATCTCTTCTGCCACCCTAGAACATTCATCCAATCATGGCGGGCCAGGGGTGGGCCTCATGCTCTGATTGGCCCGCCTGGGTCACACGCTCCATCTCTCCCTGGCGGGGACTCAGTGCCACTGAACCACAAGGACATGAGGACTAGAGGCAGGCGGGAGGGTTTCCCAAAATGGGACCAGGGTGACGACGTTCCTGACACCGGGGACTGCATGCTAGACAGGCAGTAAAGTGTGCTGGCCAGTGATGAAGAGCGGAGGTGGGACCAGCTTCCTTCACCTCTCAGGGTTCTAGGGGAGGCCAGCACAGCTCGTCTGTGGGCCCTGGCCAGAACCTGCCCCCCCTGAAGGGCTGGGTGTGAGGATTCAGCCTCTTCCTGGGCCACGCCCAGCAGTCTGCCACTTGCCTCTTCCTCCTCTCTGCCACTATCCCAGCTGGGGAGGGGAGGAGCCGGGGAGGAGCCTGGCATGGAAACCCAGGGCTCATGGTGAACTCCAGCTGTAGGGAGCCCTGCTGTTTCCCTGTGTGGACCCCACCCAAACACTAAGCGCGAGCAGAGTAGCAAGGCCGGGAGAAGAGCCGGCAGGGCACGGCGAAGTGGCCTCTCCACGGGCTTTTCCTCCCGTGTCCGTGGCCTGGCGCCGTATCCTTTGGTGAGAACGCCGCTCTGAAGTTCTCCGCAAAGACTGGGCCAACTGGAAAGTGGAAACTAGAGAAGGGATCATGGAGAGAAGTGGGGGGTGGCCTGCCACCCCCGCCTAGGCCTATGCGTGTGTTTCCCAGACACGGATTGGGAACGCTAGGGAGAAGAGAGCCTCCAGAACCTCCCAGACTTGTCCCCTGCTGTGCACGATTTAGGATATCCAATGTGTGTATGTGCAGGCCAGGATTGCCCAAATCTGGGATCAGTTCGGTCAACAGGGCGTGTGTGTGTGTGTGTGTGTGTGTGTGTGTGTGTGTGTGTGTGTGTGTGATGTTTAACACTTGTAGAAATTCTGATATGTTAGCCAGGCACCGATGGCTTACGCCTAGCTACTCAGGAGGCTGAGATCTGAGGATCGAGGTTCAAAGCCAGCCCAGGCAGGAACGTCTGTGAAACTCTTAACACTAATAAACCACTCAGACAACTGGAAGTGGTGCTGTGGCGCAAGTGGTTAGAGCGTCATTCGCCTTGAACTGAAGAGCTGAGGGACCACGGCCAGGCCCAGAGTTCAAGCCCCATGACCGACCAAAAGAAGAAAAAATTCTAATATGTGCAAGTCTAAAGAGGGAAAGTAAAGACCTGGGAGTCGCTGCACGAGGCTGGCAAGCTACCTGCGGCAGCCGGGACCACAAAGCTGTGGTCAGGTGGGAAGGTGGGCGCCTCCACCCTGCCTGACATCCCCAATCTCTCTCCTGTGTGCAGAAATCCGTGCAGATCAGAACAGAAGCCGGCTCGCGCCTCCACATCGAGCCTCCTGTGGACTACTTGGAAGACTTTGAGCCCTGTGGGGAAATGGCTGGCGAGGCCAACGAGGCTTCAGGGGACCACCCACAGGTAGGACCCGCTGCAGGGCGCTGTGGCCCTCCGGGGGCCCTTGCCAGCCCTGACCCACGCTGCCCCTCACCCACCCTTCATGGCTCATCTCTCAATCCTGATGTGAAGAGAGCGGAGCCTGTGCCAGGCACCTGCTGTCCTAGTCAGGGAGAAGCCTGGTGGACAAGAAGGGGGCATTGTGGCAAGGATTCATGGGAAAGCATTCCAGGCAGAAGGAACAGCCGTTGCAGAGGGCAATGAGGCTGGACTTGTTCACAGATCAGGGTGCAGGCATGGCGTGAACAAGGAGAATGAGGTTGAGGTGAGGCTGAGCACAGTGGATGCCAGGCGAGAAGCATGCATATGCAGCTGGGCTTGCTGATAAGGGTATTGCTTTTTTTTTTTTTTTTAAATTGTGAGAATATCATACCGAGGAGTTACAATTACATGGGCAAGATAATGAGTACATTTCTTATCAAGCGTTGCTGCCTCCTCTTTGTTTCCCCTTCCCATCTCTTCCCATCTACCCCCCCTACCTCCCCCTACCCGATCCTCCCCCCCCCCCACCAGAGTATTGTTTTTTTGTTATTGTTGTTGTTGGTCGTGGGGCCTGAACTCTGGGCCTGGGCGCTGTCCCTCAGCTCTTCAGCTCAAGGCTATCACTCTACCACTTGAGCCACAGCATCACTTCTGATTTTCTGAGTGGTTTATTGAAGAGTCTCACAGACTTTCCTGCCTGGGCTGGCTTTGAACCTTGATCCTCAGATCTCAGCCTCCTGAGTAGCTAGGATTACAGGTGTGAGCCACTGGCACCCAGCTGGGTATTGCTTTTGTTATTAAAAAGGAATGATTGTATCAACTTCATTTCTAAATAAGCAAAGTTCTTTCTTTTTCTTTTTCTTTTTGTACCTATACCGGGGCTTGAACTCAGGGACTGGGTTCTGTCTCAGCTTTTTTTTTTTTTTTGCTTAAGGCTGGCATTCTACCACCTGAGCCACACCTCTACTTCCAGCTTTTTGGTGGTTAGTTGAAGATAAGAGTCTCCTGGACTTTCTTACTCCAGCTGGCTTTGAACCCTGATCCTTAGATCTCAGCCTCCTGAGTATCAATGACGACAGGTGTGAGTCATCAGTGCCCAGCTAGGCAAAATTCTTGAGAAGTAACAGGTCAAAGGTCGAGTTGCTAAGTTCCTCTGCCCTTGTTCCAGCCTCGATCTCAGAGCCTACAGGGCAGAGGTCCTGACCATGGCTTCTGGCCAGAAAACTGCTTCATGAAACGGCAGTGTCTCGGGAAGGAAGAGCAAGTGCTATCCAAGGCCTCGTTCCTCCCTTTCTGGGGTGCATTTTACTAACACAGGCTAGCCTCAAACTGACAGCCCTCCAGTCTCCATCTCGGGAATTAGCGGGATTACAGGCATGTACTACCGTGCCGCTCATTCGCTTTTACATCTGCTAAGGAGGACTCTGCTGGAGCTGTCATTGCCAAACAAACCCTCTCCTTTCTTTTAGCTGGATTTCAGCCATGTTCAGTTCCTCCACCGTGTCTCAGTGTGTGTGTGTGTGTGTGAGGATGCCCTTCAAGTCAGGGGCTCTGCTAGTTTGCCTTTGATCAGGCACCCGGCACGTCATTCAATGAACACTTAATTCTTCCTGCCCAGGCTGCCCAGCTCCTCCAACACCAGGCAGCCACGTCCCTCACAAGCTTTTAAGAACCATTAGCTTCCCTGCCCGTGCCCAGGGCCAGTGTAGCTGCTGCTGGTTCCAGCGTGGTTCATTTCCTCCACCGCGAGCGCCTGATTGTTTCTCTATCTCTCCTTTCTCTCCCCATCTTGAGGGGCTCTCCCCAAGGCTTCACACTCAATTTCCCCTTCGAGTTATTTTCCTGCAAAAAGAGAGAGGGAAATGGCAATGCCAGCTTTCCCGCAAAGGCAGTCGCATTACCAGACGCGATCTGAACAGGCCAAGAATAGAGAAAGGCGCCTGGGTAAACCTGACCTTCACTGTTGAAACTGACCAGCCTCTCCCTTCCTCCCATCCCCGGTGAACGGACATTTCCTGGTTGCTCCGAGTTCAAAGACCACACGTCACAGGTGTGAACTGCAGGCTGGCATTAGCCAATCAGGATGCCTGTGTGACCATCTGAGTCACCTTAGCCAATCAGGATACCTGTGTGACCATCTGAATCACCTTAGCCAATCAGGATGCCTGTGTGACCATCTGAATCACCTTAGCCAATCAGGATGCCCATGCAACAGTCTGAATTGGGGATGGGGGATTCTTTGCAAACGTGAAATGTTTGTTTGTTTGTTTTTGAGTGCCGGTCCTGGGGCTTCAACTGAGGGCCTGGGCATTACCCCTTAGCTTTTTCACTCAAGGTTGGCACTCTACCACTTGACCCACAGGTCCACTTTGGCATTTTGCTGGTTAATTGGAGATAAGACTCTCATAGACTTTTCTGTCTGGGTTGACTTTGAACCAAGATCTTCAGATCTCAGCCTCCAAGTAGCTAGGCTTACAGGTATCAGCTCCTAGCTAGGGGTACCATCTTTTTTTTGTTGTTGGTCGTGGGGTTTGAACTCTGGGCCTGGGCGTTGTCCCTTAGCTCTTCAGCTCAAGGCTAGCGCTCTACCACTTAAGCCACAGCGCCACTTTCAGCCTTTTCTGTTTTTGTGGTGTTGAGGAATCAAACCCAGGGCCTCATGCATGCGAGGCAAGCGCTCTACCACTGAGCCACCTTCCCAGCCTTAGGGGTCCATCCTTTTACAGGACCACTGCTGTCTCCATGGACAGGTATGGTCCACACTTCAGAACCAGATGCTGAGGATAAAGCATGAGATAGTATGCTTTGGGGGAGGTGAGAGGGCTTCTGGAAACTGCAGAGTAAGGGCTGGAGGGAGAGGGTCAGCGGCTGCTATTTCTCATGGGCAGCAGATGTGGGGTTCCCCTTGCAGAGGCCATAGTCAAGTAGACCTTACAAGAGGGAAGGAGGCAGCTATGTGGTACAAAGTGCCCTAGACAAAGGGAGCTGGGGCAGATGCAAAGGCCCTGGGGTGAGGAGCCGAGGCGGAGAAGGGAAAGAGGAGGAAAAGATGGGAAGACAAGAGTGCATTGGAGTTGGGACCATCATAAAGATGAGGGATTTTTCCTTGCCGAAAACCCTAGGGTTTTGAGCCATTTTACAAGTAGACAGTTCCACTGACGGGTCCTCTCCCAGTCATAGCCGCTGTCCTTGGAGCATGCGCCGTGCTAAGTATCAATATTGAAGCGGTCCCAGTCTGCAAGACACCAATATAACTGTAGTCGTGAGATACAGATTCAGGTAGATTGCAAGTTTACACTGATGCCCCATAGACTTCAACATGTTTTATTTTCTATCCTCTATCGATTTATTGACCCCCCCCCCCCCCAACGGACTTTCTATTTGTATGAGACAGGATCTCACTATGTAGTCCGACCTGGCCTTGAACTTGAGATCCTCCAGCCTCAGTCTCTGGAGTGTAGGGATTACAGGTGTGTGCCACCACACCTGGCTTCAGGGAAGTTTCAGAAGCAAAAGCCACAGTGGAAAGGGCGATGACACGGTTGTAAAGGACGTAAGAAAGAGATGGGGTGAATTAAAGGGTATACAGAAGGAGTGGGGGACACAGACATTCTTAGGGAGTTAGAGACATTCTGCAGCCTGGGGCGGGGCAGGAGCAGGTCTCAGGAGAAGCTGAGATAATCTGCCCAAGGTGCAGCTCCCAAGGCCCAGGGTTCAATCCCCAGCACCGAAAATAGATAAAGGAATGGATATGGAGAGAGATAGAGATAATATATCTACATCTATTCACTTAGTTTATCATAGAAAGGGAGTTTTTACTAAGGAGGTGAAATTTTGAGAGCTAGAAATTGGATTTGTGTTGTGATCTATAAAGACATTACTATATAAATGCAAATGAATACATAAACCCTTTAGCTGTGGTTTTTCCTACTTTGTCAGATTTGAGAGAGAAAACCCAAAACTTGGGAAGATAGAGGTAGGCAGGAAAGGCTTTCATGTTAGGATATGAAAACCCAGGTTGCATGCTGGGAGGGAGGGAGAGGAGCATGGGGCCGGGGGGGGGGGGGGGGGGGGGAGGGGGGGTGTCCGCCACAGCCTGGTTGCGACTCCTGGGCGGGGTCAGCTCCTACGCATCCCCCCCCACGCCCCCCACCCCTCGCTCTGCTCACCTCATCCTTGCTCTGTTTCATTTTGAGTAGGAAACTGCTCTTGCCCGTGGTGTTTTATATTCCGTATTCTGGACCAGGAATGTAGCACGGACAGTGAGGCCATGGGTTCGATCCTCAGCCCTACAAATACATACATCCCCTCTTCTGAAGAGGCTGGAGCTTGCCGGCCTGTGGCGGGAGTTGCAAGAGTGGCTGAGGTCCACTAAACCAGGAGTGGTCGCTGGGCCCTTCCACAAAGGACTGGGGGTCTGAAGCCACCAACCTTTAGCGCCTGTTTCCTCATCCCACTAGAAGAGGGGGGCTGGCTGGCACTGGTAGTTCATGCCTGTAATCCTAGCTACTCAGGAGGCTCGGGGCTGAGAATTGAGATTTGAAGCCAGCCTGGGCAGGCAAGTTCCTGCGATTCTTATGTTCAGTTAACCACTAAAAAGCCAAAAGTGGAGGTGAGGCTCAAGTGGTCGAGCACTAGCCTGGAGCGAAAAAGCCAAGTGAGTGTGCAAGGCCCTGAGTTCAAGCCCCAGTACCAAAGAGGAGAAGAGGAGGAGGAGGAGGAGGAGGAGGAGGAGAAGAGGAGGAAGAGTAGATTCGGTAGATTCAATATTTTCTCTTCCCGCCGGGAAGAGTTACTAGGAAGCCCTGTTCCTGTGTCACACGCACCGTGGGAACAGAGGGCGTGCGTACCTGATGGGGTCTCCGTCACCCCCAGACTTTGTGTATGTCACTAGGCTGCCGGGGTTGAATCTTGCTCTCCACCGCCACAATCCAAGTAAAGGAACAGCGGCTGGATTATGTGAGTGAGGGAGGGAAGGGGTG